GGGAGGGCGGCCGGCGCGCAGGGGAGCCCAGCCCCGCAGACCCAGGGTTCAGAGGCGCCCGACACATACACACGTAGCCAGGGAGCTTACAGGCCAGACTCCCATGCCTGCCCCTGCCGGGACCCGCTAGGCATCCCTGGCTTTCCCCACCCCCTCCCATGGCCCCCTTAGCCGCCCTTCCGCCCTTCCTACTCTATCCCCACCCCACTCTGGGCGCAGAGGTGGCTGGGGGCCCTGAGCACTGGCTGGGAGGGAGGTAGCCATGCCCTGCTTCTACGTGGAGGCTGCAGGGAGAGGCCAGGCCTCTGGAGAATAGCAGGAGCCTGGAAGAAGTCTGTGTGCAGGCCTGGGCCTCGAGAATCTAGTATGCCCATCCCCTCGGCTGGGGAGGACAGCCCAGGAGGCAAGGCCGCCGCCTGGGGTGCACAGCTACCACAAGGACTCCGAGGACAGAAGGGCTCCAGAGCAAGGATCTCGCTGCCCCAGTCCCTCTAGGGCAAGGGACCAAGTGTGGAGCTGAAGGTGGGCAGTGGCCCCGCCCAGTGCTCGCGGCCCCGCCCAGACCCAGGGCCTGGATCCCTGAGACTGCCAGTAACTCCTCCCGGGTTTCTCTTGGGGCCGATGGGTCAGCTTCCAGGGGTTTAGCTGACCCCGTCCATCCCCACTTCTCAGTTTCTAGTCCTGGAGGATTCGGGCAGGAGGCATCCAGGGAAAAAAAAGGGGGGCTGAAATTGAGTGGGAACCACTCCATGCGGAGGACAGACTCGTGGATGCAGCCTCGCTCGGTGGGTGACTGCACTTCCAGACACCTCCCAGCCCGCCGAGGTCCCCCGCCAGGCAGCTGTCACCACACCCCTCAGGGAACCCACGGGAGGCACCTGCAAGTAGGTGCAGGCCCCAGGCAGCAAAGCTGACAGAGAGGAAGCAGCCTCACGACCCTGCACTCTCCATGGAGGCCTGGGACCCCCGCAATAACCTCATCGTGGGTGAGGCCACACCCTCTGCCTGGCAGCGCCCCACTTACTGGCCTGGGCTGCCTCTCCGGGCCCTCCCAAGGCTCTGGGGTCAGAGGGGCTACTGATGGGCCAGCCAGGCTGCCTACAGGGGGCGTCGACCGCCATCCAGCCTGGAGCTCCACTCTCCCTCATTCCCACCGCAAAAGGGCTATAGGTCCCCTGCCCTGACCGGGTCCAGTTTACAAACAGCATACGGTTGCCCCGAGCCTGGCCCCGCTCTCAAGTCCCTGCTTCCCCAGGGGGCACGGGGCCCACGAGCCAGGTAAGTAGCAAACCCCTCCTCCTTCCAAGAGCAGAAGCTCAGAAAGGCCCTGTTACTGCCCCGCCTGCTCGGGGCTCTCTGGCCTCTCCCAGCCCGACTTCTTTTGCCTTAGGCCTCTCGACATCCTGATCTCTTGCAATAACAAGGAAGCGAGACTCCGCAGTAGATGTCCCTCTCCGTGCGCCCTCCGTTTCTCTGTTGAGAGCCTGTTTTGGAGTTTGCTCCCCGTTGTCGTCGTCGTTGTCGTAGTATCTAGGGTGTTAGAGCTGGGAGGGGACAGTAGAGATGTAGCGGCCCCTCCGGCTGGAGACCAGCCTGACCCCTGCTCTGCCCTGCTGCGGCCACTGTTTCTGTTGGTCGGGTTGGGATCCTTTGCCCCTTAGGAGAGGTGTTGGTCACGATGTTTACCTCAGTTTATGTCACTGTCAAAGAAAAAAATAGAGGCCGGGCATGGTGGCGCATGCCTGTAATCCCAGCACTCGGGAGGCTGAGGCAGGAGGATCGCTGTGAGTTCGAGACCAGCCTGGGCTACACGGTGAGTTCCAGGTCAGTCTCAACTACATAGTGAGACCCTGTCTCAAAAACCAAAAAAAAAAAAAAGAAAAGAAAAGAAAAAAATAGCAAAAAATTAATAACACTGTAGATGTGATTTAGAAACAAAAGAAAAACTCACAAAAATACTCCCCCTTGCGATTCTGTGAAGGTACAGTGTGTACGCGTGTGTGCACACACGTATGTGTCTGTCTGGGGTGGGGCGGGTCATCCCCGACCTCTCCCTGCCCTTAGGTCCCCCATTGGCCCTGTGTCCTTTGGTGCTTCTCAGAGGCCCCACTGAGCTGGCCTGTGGGGTGGGGGGCCCCTGCGTGGGAGGTGGGGCCTCTGCCAGGCCCACTTAGCAGAATAGCAGAACGCAAGGCTGCCTGGTGCTCGCTGAGCCCAGGGGTCCTGGTAGCTGGCATCAGTGCTCCGACTGGCTCAGGGCCTGGGGCAGGGTCCTGGGTGCACCCGAGACCTGACTTTCATGTGTTGCCCCTCACCCACACCCCATGTCTTTGTAAATACTCTGGCATCCTTTGGCCCTGAGAAGGTATTTAAATGTGTTATTTACTTCTCTAATCATGACAATTGCTATAAAATAAAAGTTTGGAAAAATTATCCCTGGATGGTTGTGCCCTCTCTGCCGGGGGGAATCAGATACCACAGGTTCTCTCTGGAGACTCAGAGCTGATCTGGACCACTTCCCATAGACGGCACCTGCAGTGTGAGGGCAGCTACTATGGGCTGCTGTGGCCTCAGGCCTGAGTGGAAATGAAGACTGGGTTCTGCAGGAAGGGACAGGGAGTTGTCCCTGGCCTGGAGTCAGTTTCCACTCGGAGTCCTGCAAACTGGGCAAGAAATGAGGCAAAAACCCTGAGCAACAGACTAGGCCGGTTCTTCTGGCCACCGCTCAGCAGATATTTCCTGAGCATCTGTGGTGTCCCAGGCCAGATACGAATGGACTGATGGCCACCAAGAAAGAGCTGCAAGAAGGCGTGGTTCACGCTGTCAGCACTGCCGAGCGCACAGTGCACAGTGAGCCACTGAACGTGGCACATGGGTCTCCGTGGCTATGGCAACAGCAGTTTCAGGAGTGTAGCAGGGCCAGAGGCCAACACAGCTTGTGATGCAGTGATGAGAGGGAGAGGCTGCAGTAGGTTCATTACAGTAAACTCTTCTGTTATAAGAGAGGAATATGAGCAGCGGGAGTCTTGGGGGAAGGGTCAGCTAAGTCAAAATGTTTAACATTCCCACGGTGACCATTGCGTCGGAAGTTTCCCTGGGTTTTAGTAGCTCTCATTCTGGTCATTGGGTCTCTGCCTTCAAAGTTCCTTGCACTTTGTGTGTCCTGTTTTTCTTTGTGCATCTGGGGTCCTGCCTCTAGTCTTCCCCTGGCACTATCAAAAAGTCTACTGAATATACACATTTTAACAGGAACAACAAGAACCAAGATATATCATGTAAAGGTACAAGATCCCAAGGATAAATATAACTATCGTTTGCTTTAAATGTACCAATAAACTGAAAAAAAATAGGAACAGAACACAAGTAGGATGATTTGGGAGCCCAACTGACTCCTGAGAAACATTGGCCTTGCCCTGGATGGTGGTAAAGGCCTGTAATCACAGCCCTCTGGGAGGCTGAGGCAGGGGGATCACAAGTTAGCATAGCCTGGGCAACTTGGCGAGTTCCGGTCTCAAAAAATAAAAAGGACTGGGGATGTATCTTTGTACAAGGACCCTAGGTTCAAACCCCACTACCACCCCCCCAAAAAAGAAGATATATTGGCCTACTATCATGGCAGTAAACCTTGTCTTGCTAATGGTCCCAGCCCAGTACCCGGAGCAATGACTAGCACCTAAGTAGTGCTCAATAAATACTGAGTGACACCCTTGTTCATAGCGGTAGCTTGTGACGGCTAAAACCTGGAAACAGCCCAATTGCCCATCAACCGGAGACAGGTAAAGAAGATGTGGGCGCAAGCGCAAGGTCCCAAGTTTGATCCCTGGGGCCAAAAAAAAAATTTTTTTTTTTAATAAAAGGAGTACTGTTCAGCCATAAAGAATGAGAAACTAGAAATATTTATAGCTAAATGGATGCACAGAGGCCATACTCAAGTGAAATAAATATGACACACGTGTAAATACTGAATAGTTTCTCTGGTGTGAGAAGCAAAGTGTAAATAAGGATCAAAATGTATAATTAATGTGCAATAGGAAGAAAAGTCTAAAGGATTAGGGGAAGTGGGAGGAGCAGGCGAAAAGAAAGAAGGGAAGAGAAAAAATATGAGAAAAGGAAAAAAATGGAAACGAAGTCTTTGTAAATAGGGAAGGGTGGAGGGGGTGAAGGGAGGGCAGGGGAATGGGGAAAATAAGAACCAAGATGCATCTTGTAAAGGTGCAAGATCCCGATGATGAAGGTAACTATCGTATACTTAAAATGTACCAATAACCTAAATGAAAAGAAAAATAAATATTCAGTGAACAATCGATACGAGCGTTTAAATAGATCGATTCTTTGCAAGCACGGTTTCCACCCAGTTGAGTCCGGACTCAATTCACACTGGCTCCACTCGGCACACCTTCTCCAGCGAAGGAGTCAGCGCCTGTCAGTCCTAGCAAGGGGCGGGGCCTCGAACCACACCTCTACCGCGCGGCCTACCGGCTTCCGGACTCAGGAAGGAAACCTGAGGGCGGCGCGCCGCGTCTGACGTCACGGCGCGCGCCGCCCGGGTGGATCCCGTGAGCCGTTGGGAAACGGCCTCGTCCACCTCCGCTAGAGTGCGCCTCGGCAACCCGGATCGCTGCCGGGACAGGAAAGCTAAGGCAAGGCTCAGTACAGAGTCCGGGCGGGCTCGGCGCTGTGAAGCGGGCGGTCAGCGGCTGCTGGAACCCGGACTGCAGGGCGTCCTCGTCACCTGCAACGTGAACGCGCGCAGGCGCGGGGAGGAGACCTTCAGCCTGCTCCACGAATATGGTGACGGCACACCCGGGGTCGGAGAGCCGGCCTGAAGGTTTCCCGGGAAGGGCACGGCCGCCAAGGGGGATACAGAGGAATGGGACAAAAGCATGTCGTGTGCGCAGGCGCGCGCAGGACTCCTAGGGCCGCGCGCCTCCCGCCTGGTGGCCTCGGCGGTAATGATGTTTGCCCCGAGCCGCTGTATCTCTCGTGCATCGGATTTTGCACTAACGTGGCCCTTTCCCAAATTCAGGTAAAAACACATTAAAAAAATACAACTGCTAAAGAATACTTGTTCATTGTGGAATGTATATGAAATATTGAAAAGCATAAATATGAAAATAAAACTATCCATAATATCATAACCAAAAAAATTAAAACTTTTATACCAATACCTCATATCACTTTGTCTTATCACAATTTGGAAATCGTGATATTATTAGCTTAGAATCTGGGCCAGTGGGCAACTCACTCGGGACCTCTCCTGTCGCAGGAGCTAGTATTCTACATTCCTAGTCTCCTTTCCTATTCTCAAATAAATTTTCCTGCTCTTAAAAAATTTTTTTAAAAAATCTGGGCCGGTACACATGTGTACCCAGAGGAATTAAGTGGCAGGTAGTACAGAAGCCTCACCCCACTTGTGCACGTTTCTTCATGGGCTCTGCCTATGCCAGGCTATGTCAGTGGCACTGTCAGTGGCGTCCCAGGGCCGGCCATGGCCACCGAGGCCACAGCGGCCATCGGTCACGGGGGTTCAAGTGCCTGCACGACCACAGTCGCCGATCCCGGGATCCTGCACTGGAACACGTAACCTGCATGCTGGGTAAACAAGTCAGAGGCTGAGGTCAGGACCTCCCAGCACTACGGAAAGGCATTGGCACCCTATCTGTATTTAAATCCTCCTTCCTACCTGTGTGACCTTGGACAATCCTCTCTGTGCCTGTTACATTTGTGCCTAGCTGTCCCTCCAAAGCCTCACATGGTCACAGGTGGCTTTTTCAGAGATGGCGGCTGAATCTAGTGTGATGCTGGGATTAAGGGCGTGTGGTTACTAAACCAGTCCAGTGATTGGCTTGACACCGCCCTAATCCTGGTGCTCTAGATAGAAAAAATGGCAGAAAGACACTGGTAAATTTCCCTTGTTGCTTGTGCTACCTTCTGGCGCCCATTAACTGTTTCTCCTCTGCGATGTCCTTCTGCCATGCCGAGCTGCCTTGGAGTCACACAACTATAGACAGAAACCTCTACAAACTTGAATTAAACCTTTCCTCCCTTGTAGGTGTTGGGTGTTTTGTCTCAGCAACAAGAGAAAGGCAGCCAAGACTATCCCTCAGTCTTCTCCTTTGTGAAGTGGAGGATAAAGTGGCTGCAATTCACAGGATAAACTGAAATAACATATGCAAAGAACCTGGCACATAACAAGCCCTAAGTGTTACAGATATCTTCAGGGCAAACATGAAAGGAAAACTGAGTCCAAACCGACCGCAGCATCCACCCTTGGGCTCCCCCTTCCTGGAGTGTCCTGATTCCCAGTCCCCAATCCTCCCAGTGCGGACACAGTCAGACCGTGAGCTGTGCACCAGGTGTCCATTTAGCTGTCTGTGCTGGTTACTGGGCTTCAGGGTGAGCTCAAGAGTCTGTCGCCAAGGAGGCTCCTGGGATGCCTCACCCCTGACCTCATCTCTCCCCAGACTGGTCAGGTCCCTGTGTATCTCCTTCCATTGTCACTGCCCAAGGACAGCATCCTCCTCGTCAGGGGCCCCAGAGTCTGGGACAGCAGTTCCCTGGATCCTGGGGTGGCCCTGCAGCTGGTGGGAGGAAGAGGTGGTGGCTGGGGGGACCCCCACACTCATCCCCTTAGCTTCCAACCCACACACCAGTGCTCTTCCTCCTTGCCCCTATGGAGATTGTCCGGTGCCAGGGCCGAGGGCACCTGCCTTGGAGCAGCCTCACCAGCCAGGCCCGATTCCTGGGCCACCCCCTCCTGCACCATCCCTGCAGTTATGTGCACCAGGTGCTGTGCCCTCACCCAGAATCTCCCTCCAGAATCTGCCTCGCCTGGTGCAGATGGGGCCCTTGTCATACTGTGCTCGAGGGAGACCTTCCAGCCTGCAGCTCTGGATGCCTTGGCACATGGCAGTGCTCTCGGAAAGGCCTGTGACTTCCAGGTCCACCAGGCCAGTGGAACATGCCCTCCTATGCATGCCACCCCACCCTGCGGCTGTCCACTGCTGTCCCCACTCCTGGCCTGACCACCTTGGCATCTCAGGGCCCTAGGATCTGGCAGCCTGGAATGGGGTGGACACCCCACTGTGTGTTTGCTCAGAGGGGGCACCCCTTTTTAGCAAGGGCAAGGCAGGCTAGGTCTGTCACTCTGTCTGCCTGTGGGCTTCCTCCGTGGGAGTGCCAGGGCTGACAGGCACCTGCTGGGCACCAGGGCGGCATGTATGTGTGTGAGCACTTCATGTATGTGTCCAGGGTGTGTGTGTGGGTGTGTGCACTTGCCGTGGGCGGTCTCAGGTGCCCCTGGGCTGTGCACACGTGCTCCTCTCAGAGCACCTGCTGTACCTGCAGCAGGTCCGTGTGCACCTATCCAGGAGCCGGGCCCCTGAGTGCCAGGGGAGGCCACGCTGGTCCTGCACCTGAGCACCGCTGTGTACTCCCAAATGTCTCTCTGCACCCCCAGGAATGGGTCATCACAAAGGAGACCCCTCTGATGGTGCCCTACTCCCCTGCCGGCTCAGCCTGGGGGTTTTACTTCAGACCGGTGGACTGCAGAGATAGCCTGTGCACAGGATGCCGGGGTGGGGCCGTGGGTGGCTGGAGAGGCTTTCAGTGAAGGGGGCTGGTGTGTGAGTCCTGGGGAAAGGCAAGGGCTGCTTCTGAGTTCCTGAATGGAGTGGGGATCCTGGAGAGATGCAGACAGGCTCTAGGCGGCCTGGGAATGGCTAACGAGTATGGTCAGGAGAGAAGGCAGGGACGGCAGGGCTCCCGGGTCCTCAGAAATGCTGGAGGAAGCCAGTTCCTCACCTGTTGTCCCGCTCCCAGTTCCGCCCAGCAGCAGCGGCAGCGGCAGCACTTTGGGCAGGCACAGAGGAAGTGCCAGGCCAGCAGTGGCTAAGCATGGCCCACCCGCCTCCAGTGTTCAGTGGTGAGGCACAGCTGCACGGGGCGTCCCTCCCTAGCCTCTGCTTTTTTATTCGCAGGTGGGTAAGATTGGTTTTTTTTAATGGAAGCTTCTATTCCAACCAGCCAATCAGTGGACCAAATGCAGACTCAAAGATAATGAAAGGAACTGTGGCCGCTTTCTGTCCAAGGCTACGTTGGCCACAGAATTACTGGACTCCTTGAATTACCTGATAAAACTTTCCATAAATTCCTAGGAATCTTGGATTGGCAGAGCCAGCACAACCTGGCTTTGTTTTTCAGTCTTAGGATGCACTTGGGTGTCCAGGGGGTTGCTGCAAGAGAGGAAGAGCAACCCGCTCAACAACATTAGGAAGGCGCCCAGGCAGGCCACCAGCATGGCGCTGCCCATCTCCATGGCGCCGGGCTGGAAGGGCACTTGGGAGGCCTGTGGGAAGTAGATCTCCTCCCCGATCACCACGGAGTAGAAGTTCCAGCAGACAGCCAAGGAGACGCAGGCGCAGGCGACCAGGGTCAGAGTCCCCGCGGTGGCGAAGGGTCTCCAGGGCAGGTCCTTGGGTGGGGCTTCGGCAGTCACCTTCTGGAGCGCCCGGACCGCGAAGGCTTTGCCCACGAGCCCCAGGATGCTGGCGGCCAGCAGCAGGTACTGGGCCGCGCGGATGTCAGGCGGCAGGAAGGTGTCGCGGTGGGTGTACTGGTGACACCTCTTAGCTCGACTGAAGTTGCTGTCGTGCTTGTAAACGCAGAGCCGCCACATCCCCACGCAGACGAAGGAGGAGCGGGAGAAGGTGGGGTCCTCCATGTGCCACACGCGCCACTCCACAAGGCCCATGGAGGTGCTGCTGAGGATCCACGCGATGGTGGCGATGGCGAAGCCCGAGACTTGGCGATTGGTGGCGTGGGCATGGACAGGCATGGCGGTGTGTGGGCCACTGCAGACAGACACGGGGGTGGTAAGGCGGGGCCCTACGGCCCGGGCGCCAACCTGAGAAGCCGGGAAGGCTGCGTGGAGCTGCGCTGAAGGCTTCCTAATGCACACATCCTACACGCGGCTGCTTCTGAACGTCGTCCAGAGATGTAATTAAGTTTGGCCACAAATACTGAGCCACAAAAAATGGTTTTAACAGCATTGTTTCTAATATTGAAAAATGAGGTTCCAGGGATGGTACATCCCTGGAACCTGAGGTTTGGGAAGCTGAGGCAGGAGGGTCACCAGAGTTCAAAGTGAGCCTGGGCTATAATAGTGGGTTCAAGGTCTCTGTGTATGAATTACGTTTTGAGACCTTGTTTCAAAAAGAAAAAAAAAAGACAAAAACAAAGGAAGAAAAAAAAAAAGGAAACCATCCCCAGTCCGACAATTGGTTAAAGGTTTATGCAATGGAGCTATACACCAAGGTTAAACATCTAAGTGGACTCATGCAAGTGGAACTTGTGGGGTGTGGGTCCCTGCCCTTCGCAGTGTTCGATTCCGGGTTACAGTGCAGGCGGGAAGTGCATCCTGTCCCCTGTGGACAGTGGGTGGACCCGCGGCTCCCTGCTCGCTGGCGTGAGCCTTTGTGTATGGCTCCGCCGTGACCTCTCTGCTTCTCTTGCCAATACCTAGGAGTAGCGTCACCTGGTCATGGGTAAGTGTGTATTTGACTTTTTGGAAATTGCACAAGGCTCTCCCCGAGCGGCAACACTGGTTTCCACAGCCATCAGCAGCCTCAGAAGGCCCCAGTAACTCATATCCTCTCCCACACTTTGTGTTTGCAGTCTTTGGTCTTACAGCTGTTCGTTACCGTTGGTTAGCCTTCCAAAAGGAAGGTGTTTGTCACATATCAGGATGAGCGGCAAGTCACAAAACACACCTGGACATGGGTTACACTGAAATCTGTTATGAAGAGATATTTTTAACTGGGGTTGAGGGATTATAAAGGTTAAAAAAAAGCTATCAGGAGCCAAGCATGGTGGCACATGCCTGTAATCCCACCATTCAGAAGGCTGAGGCAGGAGGATCACCGTGAATTTGAGGCCAGCCTGGGCTACATAGTGGTTCAAAGCCAGACTGAACTGTGTAGTGAGACCCTATCTCCTAAAAGAAGGTGTCAGGGTCGTGAAGCATCGCATACATGGATAAGCACTCAAAATGTAGGTGTGCAGCTCAATGAATTATCACGAGCAATGTACACACAGCCACTACTCTTGTTCCTTCTTTTCTTTCTTCCCTTCCTTTTTTACATTCCCCCCCCCCCAGTACCAGGGATTGAACTCAGGACCTTGCACTTGCAAGGCAGGTGTGGTACCACTGAGCTAAATCCCCGCTCCCCCCGACTTTTTTGAGATAAGTTCTCCCTATGTAGCCCAGGCTGACCTCAAACTCGTGGTGACCCTCCTGCCTCAGCCTCCCAAGTGCCGAGATTTCAGGTGTGCACCACCACACTCAGCTGGCACACTTGTGTATTTGCTTGCTTCCTTTCTTATGGGGCATTGAATCCAGGGCCTCCATACTGATCTATACTCAGCCCTTTTTATTTTTTATTTTAAGACAAGGTCTCCATGAATTGGTAAGTTGCCCCAGCTGAGCACCAACTTTCAGTCCTCCTGCCTCAGCCTCCCACAGTGCTAGGCCCACAGGTGTGTGCCAGCACACCCACTTCCTTGCTTTGTTTATGTATCGCCTCAATGAGGCCCCAAAATCTTAATGTAATTTTAGCTACTTTTCAAAATGTAGGCCTTCCTGGCTCCTTCACTCCACATTATCTTGTACACTTAGATTACAGAGGACTCTTCGTTTGCGGTACTGGGGATCAAACTCAGGACCCTGTGCTTCCAAGGCAGGCGTGGTGCCATTGAGCTAAATCCTGGCCCTAGATTACAGTATTTAAATTAGTGCCTCTTTGTTCCCCTGCACTGTGAGTCTCTTAGGGAAGAGCCACACGCACAGACTGTACTGTGGTCATTTCCTCCATACCCACACTCCTTTCTACTCCTGTTCAATCTAAACTCCATGCCCTGGGCTCCAGTCCAGCGGACAAATCCCACAAGTGAGACCCAAGTGTCTGTGCGTGGTGCTCATAGAGCTGTTCCCAACAGAGGAACCAGGAGCCCTGGAGCCGTGACCAGGGGGTGCAAGGGAGGGAGGCTGGTCAGAGCTCGCAGGTCAACATGCTTTAATACAGAAAACCTTTGCTGTGTGGAAAGGGGGAAAGGAATGCAAAGGAAGATGCCATTGGGTGTGGTGGTGCACACCTGTAATCCCAGCTCTCTGGGAGGCTGAGGCAGGAAGGTGTTATGGTTTGGGTCCAGATGTTCCCCCAAAGCCTCATGTGGTCATAGGATGGATCTAGAGTGTATGAAATTGGAATTGATTCCTGATGGAATTGGGCTCAAGGGCACTAGGTGCTACCCGCCCTAAGTAGTCTGAATAAGATAAAAGGGGCAGGAGACACTGTTAACATTCTGTTACCACCCTTGCTGCCCTGTGTGTGCCGTGTTGTCTGTGTGTGTTTCTGCTCTGCTGTGCCCGTCTGTCATCCCTGCCTTGGAGTTGGCCACTATGGACTGAAACCTCTATGAACTGTGAGGCCAAATAAACCCTCTCCCCTCCAACTTTGGGTGTCTGGTATTTTGTCTCAGCAATGAGGGAAAAGTAACTAACACAGGTGGCAAGGATAAGCCCAGCCTGAGTAATTTAGCAAGACCCTGCCTCAAAAAAAAATGACTAAGTAAAAGCATTGGGAGTGTATAGTTCACTGTGAGAGCCCTGAGTTCTATTCCCCAGTACTGCGGAAAAAAAAGTTCAAACAAGTATGCAGTCATGTATGTCTGTGTGTAATTTATGATCCTGAGTTTTGCTTCTCACAGATCCAAATATACACACACTGGAGTCCAGAGGCACTGCTTCCAAATATCCCCTCTGCTAAATACATATTTTGCATTCTTTTTGGTATCTTCCATCTTCCAACAGTAAAGATACAACCCATGAAAAAAATCGCTTGGTCTCTGAGAAGAAGGTATACTTTTCAGGGCTTTCTGTCCAGGGGCCAATACCTGTCCAGAGGGGTCAGGTTGGGGTCACACTGAGGAAAACATTTTCTGATGGTAATGACCATGAAACCAGTCAGGTTATTGGGAGAAAGAAGGTGGAAATAACTGGATGGGAGGAAAAAAAATAAACACAAAGCAAAATGGGAAAAAAAAGCTTTTTTTTTTTTCTCATGTAGGCATTGAACCCAGAGTCTTTGCCTGAGGTCATAACCAGCACCACCCACCCTTTTATTTGACACAGGGTTTGCTAAATTACTAAACTGCCAGGTTGGGCTTGCATTTGCGTCCTCCTACCTCAGCCTCCCAGAGTGCTGGGATTACAGAGGTGCCTTACAGTGCCTGGCTCAAACAGCTCCCAATAAAGCCAGGTACCTGGTCACCAGGAGGCTGAAGCAAGAGAGGGCAAGTTTGGGGCCAGCCTGGGCAACTTAGAAAGACTCTGTCAAAATACAAAAGGACTGGTGATGTTGTTCAGTGGAGTAGTGCATGCCTGGCCTGTGTGAGGCCCTGAGATCAGCCCCAGAAAGACAGACAGAAGACCTCGATGATTGGGTAGCCTGCATGTTTGAACACTCACAGTTCCTGCCGACCTTCTTGTGGACCAAGTTCCTCTGTCCTTGCGACCGGTGGCAGTTGGGTCTCTGTCCTCTGCCAGTGCGGGGTGGGGGAGGGGTGGGATTCAGCGGTATGGGTCACGCCGGCCTTGGCTGGGGCCTTTGTCTCTGCAGGGCTGCTGGGGTCCCCAGCGCAGGCGAAGCCACAGCCTGCTATGGACACGCGGGTCAAGAAGGAAATAAGTCTCACGGTCCACCAGGGAGCGTGGGGCTCTCACTTACTGCATCATAACCTGGGTTGCCCTCACTGGGCATAAGCAAGGCTGTCAGGCCAGCAGCAGCAAGCAGGCCCCACGGTGTGGGGCGGACACCAGAGTAAATATCACTGCAGATGGTGCAATCCGGTGTCTCCTCCCCTACTGCAGTTCACCAACACTCACACTCACACTCACACGCACACACACACATACACTAGCTAGTTGAGGACCATTAACCACTGGTTCTCAAAGTCTGGGGTCCACAGGTTCCATCTCAGGGGGTCTTAGAGGTCATGACCATTTTCAGAATGATATGGAGATGTTACTTGTTTTTTGTCTTCTTTCTGCTGTGAGTGAACCATGGAGTTTTCCAAGGGCTCTAGATGTGGGATGGAACAGAAGACACAGAGTCAGACATGTGAGCCCAACAGTCTCCATGAAGCCAGACCTGAAAGAGGTCTGCAAAAACGTAAAACAACACTATTTGTCTCATGTTGTTTTTTTGTTTTAAAAAATACAATTAATTTTCTTTCTCTTTCTTTCTTCTTCCTTTTTTATTTTTCCTTAGGCACAGGGGATCAAACTCAGGACCTTGTGCTTGCAAGGCAGGCACAGCACCACTGAGCTAAATCCCCAGCCCACAAATTTTCATTTTTAAAAAATCTGCCATTAGAGGAGCGGTTTCCTGAGACAAAGGCTTCTCATGTGGGCTTCCTTGGGACATCAGCGAAATGGAGTTTCAGGGAGTCTTTCCTTGGTGACCTTGGTTGAGTCCCAGCTACAACCCGACAGGCCCTGGCAGCTCCCACCCCTCTGGATCTTGAGCCTCTCAGCTGCAAAATCCGTTAATGAGGGAGATGAGCAAACTCCGTAGCTCATGTAAGGAATCCAGCACCAGGCATGGCCCAAGCTCAGAGTGGGTCCTGAATACACAGGCTCCCGGCTCTGTAGGGCCGGGCCCTCTGGGGTCTGTTTCTGGTAAACAGTGGGGGACCCTGGGTCTTTAGGTCCTGATCACACTGGGTGCCACACAGTGCCTGGTGAATGCCCAGTGGCAGGGGGTACAGGACAGTGTAGAGAATGTCTAAGTCCCCTCCCCACAAAGCAGGGCAGCCCTCTCTCCTAGCAGTCCCTCTGTCAGTAACGGACCCAGGGCTGGACTGTGAGGGACCCCAAAGTCACCACCTGCCCAAGCCTTCAGTCACCGTCCTCCTCCCACCCCTCCCTCACTCTCTGCTCCCCGCTTCGTCCTTCGCTTGCCTCTCTGGACCTGGCTGTCCTCTTTCCCATTTCTTTCCTCTCTCCCATTTGTCTGTCTCTTACTCCCTCTGTTCGGTCCCACCCTCGCCTCTCTCAGACTCCCTGAGTCCTTCATCCTCCTCCCTTCCTCTGTCTCCCACCCCCTGCAGGGCCCCTCGCTGCTCTCCCTTGGCCACAATCAGAAATGGGCGCCTTGCCTCGTTGGGACAAATTTCTGTATGTCCTTGCCCCAGACACCCTGAGCCAGGCCAGCCATATTGCTCAGTGGATACTTATGGACCAGACACAGGGAGGCCCCGAGGAGCAGGTGCTTCTGCCCCGTCACGACAGCCCCTGCCTGGCCCCGCAGTGGTGAGCCTGAATTGCACGTGGAGGTCCGCGTGGTCAGTGGCCCCTCCGGGAGGCAGACGCTCAGACGGACACTGAACTGTCCCGAGCACTGGGGAAGTAACGAGTGGGGGACACCAGACCGTGAGGCAGACCCCACCGTGTCTGAGCATCACATGTGAAAATGCTTCTCTTCTAGAGCAAAAAGGGGGGTTGGTTTATTTTTGACCAGACTGTTTTCCTGGGCTCATTTTGTCTTCTGCGACATCCCAGCTACTGCTCTGTGATTGCTTCTCTGGCAGTGCGTGTGCATAGGAGACCGGCTTGCCTTCGGATCCCAGGTCGGGTGCCCTTTCTTTCTGAATCCGGTGGGAGCAGAATCTTAAAAGCACAGAGTCTTTCCACAAGGGGATCACCCGTCTTTCAGCCATGGAGGTCAGCAGAGTTCCGACCTGACTGGCTTGGGTGGGTGCACTTGTAGGTGAGTCTGGGCACGTCTTGGAGGCGTGACCTGAGGCCTCTGTGCACTCCTGCCTCTTCTCTCTGACGCTCGTCCCTTGCTCTGGAGCCTGAGCCAAGAACCAAGTCGCCCTCCCAGAGCCAGCTTGAGGTGGAGGTATCAGGTGTTGTGTCTCCGTGATGAGAAAGTGACTCATACACCTCAGATGCGTTGAATGAACTCAATGAGCATCTTTTGAAGATCTGTGTGGAAATATTTCCCTCGAGACAGAGGGTGCGTGTCCAACACATGCCAAACATCTTGCAAGACACTTCACTTTTTCAGTCTCCTTTTCCTCACAGAGTCCTCAGAAACCCACACAGTCGCTACTCAGCCACAAAGCTGAGGCCCTGAGGCAGCGGCCCAGAGAGCTGGTGTCAGGATGGAGGGCACAGGGCTCAGGACAAGAGTGGGGACAGCACCTGGTGTGAAGCACAGGGGCCTGCATATCAGGGGAGGATGGGGGTGCGAGGCCCAGCTACCCTGGAGGCTCCTTGGGCACCACGAAGTAGGCAGACAAAGTCTCCTGACAGAAACACATTCGGCTTCTCTCACAGCATCCACAACTGATCCACAGCTTTCAGGAGTCTGGGGGAATTGATCATCTGCATTTCAGGATGTGGACTGAGGGGCTCAGGGGAGCACGGAAACACCAGGAGGGCATGCCCTGCTGCCCTGTATGGCCTGAGAGCTCCTGCAGGCTCGGAGGGCCTCAGCCGGCCTGCTGGGGACACCTTCCAAGTCCACCTCCCGGAACTCCGCCTATGCCAGGGCACTTCCTGGCGTCCTCCTTTTGTCGCCATCCTCCACATCCTCAGGGGACCCACTCTCCCTCTTCTGCACCCAGGGCACCTCAGTGGGGCTGTGTTACGGTGGTCACCATGCTGTGTCCTGTGATGTGTGTCTCCTGGGAGGTCTGGAGTGGCCGAGTCAGGGCCGTGGCTCATCCCCCGCTCTCTCTGCAACCGGTGCTCTGGCAACCCGGCCCCTCTTGATAACGTCCTCCCGCCCTGTGCAGGACGCCTGCTCCGAGCATCAGGATGGGAAATAATGTAGCCACTGAAACTCACCTCAGAACTCGAGAGAAACTCAAGAGAAGCCAGTCAGTCACGCCTGTGCTGAGACTATCACGTCTGTCCATTGTTCTGGGTGCAGTGTGACTCCCCGCGGGCACAGTGTCCAAAGCCACCTCGACCTGGTGCACCGTCAGTGACACTGTTTGCGTGGATCCGACCAGAGGAAAGACCTGTGCTTGGCCAGTCTCGCACTGTTCGGACGTCGTGCCGAACGCTGTGCGTAGAGCGTGTGGCTGAGATCCCAGGGCCCCGCGTAGAGGTGGCCACGTCTCAGGCCTGACAGCAAGTGTCCCTGACCGAGTGGGGCAAGTAGAGCTTGGGAAGGAAGGGTCCTCCTGCTCCGCACCGAGGAGCTGCGGCACAGAGAGGGGCATATCTGTTAAGAGCCCGGCGAGGGTACAGGGCACGCGGGCACGCGGGGCTACCGGATGCGCTGTCGCGCCACAGCGCTGACACCCAGTGACACGTGGGCCGCCCCCGCACCTCCCCAGCCCTCTGACTCAGAGGTCAGAATCGCAGCCTCAAAACTCCATGGGTCTCGACTTTTGGAGAGCAGAGGAAGTCAGGAGAAGACCTGTGGTCCCCGCACCCAGCTGCGTCTGCTCAGAGAGGGGCCCAGGGCCTGGTACCAGCTCATCGCCGGAGGGAGCCGGTGACCACCACACAGGCCAGGAGGACACAGCTGTAACCTGGACCTTGCAGCAAACGGGCCCTGAAGCTGATTCCGGACTTTGCCCTCCTGTTGTTGCTTGTTTTCTGTAAGGCACACGGGCTCTCTGCTGAGTCAGAATATTTTACTCAAGGACATCACTGGGGGCATTGCACACAGCAGGTTGGCCAGCAGAGGCACCGTGCGGAGGAACGATGACTTTCATATGACTGAAGGGCATTTAGAAGTTGCACAAATCGCCCAACATCAAGTTAAGAGTATGACTTTTAACATATTTTATTTCTGAAGATTATAGCCCTGGTTCTAAACCATTTAATCACCTTGCTCCTAACAGCAATGGGACAAAATTACACTACAAATGGTAACCAGCCAGCAACACTCCCAAGGAGATAATGCAGGATGTGGGACCCCTGCCACAGGGCTTTAGGTCTGGAGTCAAGCACTGTTATTCCAGGAATAATAATAATAATAATAATAATAATAATAATAATAATAATAATAAATTCCTGCCGTTTCCAGGATCACGAGTGAAAAAATCGCTGTTCCCAGCCTGCAAGGGCGTAGGGATTTCAGGTGCCACCACGTATGGTGAGCTGGGGCTGCCGAAGCCTGGGGGGTCTTGGGGAAGATCTTGCCTCTTAAAAATTAAAGATATACTTACAGATCTTGTTTTTAAAGTGTGAGCTTTAGGTGCGATGACCCTAAAATCACTCCCAAGGCCAAAGCCAAGGAGGTTATCACTGTGGTCACTTGTAGGAATACAAGGGCTTCAGAGCTTCCATTTAGGGCTTTCTCGGGCTGGGAATTTAGTTCAGTGGCATCGTGCCTGCCTTGCAAGTGTAAAGTTCTGAGTTCAATCCCCGGCACCGAGAGAGAGAAAGAGAGAGAGAGAGAGAGAGAGAGAGAGAGAAGTTCCCAATTTAGGGATTTCTCCATTTTGAGCTGACTTTTTTGGCTGGTATAAGGTGGGGTTCAATTTAATTCTTGACATGTGGAAAAGGAAAGAAGGGAAAAGAAAAAACATGAAAACAAAGTCTTTGTAAATAGGGAAGGGTGAAGGGGGTGAAGGGAGGGCAGGGGAAGGGGGAGAAATGAGAACCAAGACCTGTCATGTAAAGTACAAGATCCCAATGGTGAATGTAACTGTACTGTATGCCTAGAATGTACCAATAAACTTAATGGAAAAAAATTCTTGAAATGGAAATCCAACTTTCAAGCACCACTAATTGAAGAAACTATCCGTTTCGCTTGTTGAAATTTGACTCACCAGCCATATTCATTAAGGAGAAGAACTAATATGACCAAGACGTCCATGATACCCAAGGCAGGTACAGCATTAACGCAATTTCTAACAGAGTTCCAAAGGAATTCACCACGAAAGTGGAGAAAAACAATCTTCAATTCCATTGGAACCATAAAAACTCCTCCATCTGCAAAGCAACACCGAGAGACCAACATATTGGAAATATCCTGATGTTAATTTATGTTACAATCAACAGCAAGCAGGGGCCGGCGCTGCTAGCAGAGACGGGAGCGTGCACGGCGGCGGTGAGAGCGGCACATTCCGGCCGGGGCCCAGGGCCACTGGTGCTGCGGCCCAGACCCTGTGGATAGCGTTGCGGATGTCTGCCTGGTAGAGTAATCAAATGCAAGAACTGATCGTCTACTTCCTGAGCACAGCCCTTGGCAAGACCTGTAAGGTGCTGAATGCTCCCCCTCCCCGAGACATTCTTCTGGGGTCCACCTGAGGTCAGCACTGTGAAGATGACCGGTGCCTTCTCAGCGTGACAACCTTGGACCGTGTGATCACTGTCCGTCAGCCCAGCGGGCCTCCTCCAGGGAAGAGCCACTCTTTCCCATCCCTCCTGAGGGGGAACTGAGGAACCCGGGACTGCCGTCTTCCTCAGACCAGTCTGAGAGCTCCTCTGCGGAAAACCAGGCAATGGATGGAGGCTCTCAGGTCCTCTCCCTCTCTGAGCAAGACGACTCCCCTGAAAAGATGGGCTCATCTCCAAAGCAGCTTCTCCTCCTGGGAGCCCTGAGTGGCCCCCACTGACCTGGCTTGGCCATCAGCAACTGGGTTCCACTTGAAGACAACACAGTCTGGGCCAGCACCTGGCCACTGTGTCAGGAAACAGGTGGGACAGGCAGAGGCTGGCCCCGTGCCTGGCAGGTGCTTCCATGAAAGGTGGAAGCGGCCAGGGTTCTGTGTCACCTGCTCCAGAGCCTGGATGCACCTGCCACACAGGAAAGAGGAGACAGGAATCATCTGCTTTCTAATAATTCTGTAGCTAGTTTTTGTTAACATAAGCATACAAAAGACTATGTGTTCTGGTAATTTTCAACCTCTGCCCTTGTCTTGGCTGTTGACCCCTCTTCAGAAGGTTACCTATATTTTTATCTCCTAGAAATCGGAACTATATTTACCTAGCATCTAAATTGTAAGCTCCTCATACACGGAGACAAATGTTTCTCAAAGCACAGCTCACTGGGCGTCTCTGACAGAGTTCCCAGTAGGCATTCTCACACCCCAAACCACAGGCGCCCAAACCCTCGGGGACAGCCAGGCGTAGTGGCGCACACTTGTAATCCCAGTACTCAGGAGGCTGAGGCAGGAGGATCGCTGTGAGTTCAAGACCAGCCTGGGCTACATAGTGAGCTCTACGTCAGTCTCAACTATGTAGTGAGACCCTGCCTCAAAAAAAAAAAAAAAAATCCTCAGGGACAGAGATGGCCCTAACTGATGAAGCTCATGCGATGGCCCTGAAATGGCCAGTAGTTGCTCTAGGAAGTGCAGAGAAGCCAGGGAACCACTAGTGCCCACCCTAGCGACCTGGCTGCTCACTATGTTAGGCACTGACGCCTGCCAAGGGTAACTGGATAACCTCTGGGACTGTATTCATTTTCTACTTGCTGCTGTAACAAATTACCAGAAACTTAGTGGCTTAAAGAACACAATTTTATCATCTTGTAGTCCTCGTGTTTCAGGGTGTGACTGGGCTTAAGTCAAGGTGGTACAGGACTGCGTTCCTTTCTGGAGTCTGTAGGGAATCTTCCATGCCTCTCACAGTTCACCCAGGCTGCCTGTGTTCTTTAAGACGCAACCCTTTTTCCTGTTAGCAAAGCCAGCAGAGTGTAGCATATTCTGGGGGCAAGTTTGCTTTCTTTTTTTTTCTGGTACCAGAGATTGAACTCAGGACCTTGCTTTTGCGAGGCAGGCAGCAGAACCACTGAGCTAAATCCCCAGCCCAGGATAGTGTATTCTGAAGTGACCACATTCTCTAACTTCTGCCCCCCTCTTCTTTTTATTTTATTTTATTTTTTATTTATTTTTTTTTTTGAGACAGGGTCTCACTATGTAGTTGAGACTGACCTGGAACTCACTATGTAGCCAAGTCTGGTCTCGAACTCACAGCGATCCTCCTGCCTCAGCCTCCCAAGTGCTGGGATTACAGGCATGCGCCACCACGCCCAGCTCCCCCCCCCTCCATTTTTTAAGGACCCTTGTGTTACACTGGGTCCCTTACATAATCATGGAAGCAAAGTCCTTTTTGCCATGTAAGGTACTGTTCACAGGTTCTGGGGTTAGAATGTGGATGTCTTGAAGATCTTCTACTACAGAGATTTATTAGCAAAAAGTAGGATTGGTATGCTTTTTTGTTGTTGTTGGTGGTGGTTGTTTAAATGTTTTGCTGGTTTTAACTCATTACAAATAACTTATTGGTTTCAAAATACGTTTTCAACAACAATACAAAGAAAAGAAAAAGCAGGACTTCCCGAAACTGGGTAAACACAGAACCGAGACCAGGGACAGAAGGGGGCGCCAGCGAGGCAAAGGATGATGTCCCAGAGCAGCTGGGAGCAAGGGCGCCCTTGAGGAAGGGGCCTGGGGGTAGCGAGCCGGCTTCCCCCGAGCCTCCTCCGACGGCAAATCTGCTGGAGGCCGAGAGGGGGCCGTGTGGGCGTGGCTGGACCATTCTGCACAGAAGAGCAGGCAGCTCTACGCCTCCCTGCATCGCCCCTCTCCCTTCCGCACGGGGTCCCCAGAGCCTTCCCAGAACCCTGAGTCCGAGTGAGTGGCCCCGACCAGACCCATGAGGGTCAGATGCTTTGGTCACAAACCAGAGGGCTGTGGAAAGGCAAATGCTCGCTGGGGAAATCCCTTCAACGCCTGCACGGACTAGAGGGGAACAGCAGCCGCGTGGGTAGCTCAGCATCAGCCAGCCCTGGACACGCACAGCGCTGCTGTTCAAGTCATGAGGGCAGATTTTCCACATTATGTATTTTTATTAGCACATCTTACTTTACAGGTTTATTTCTAAATTTTTTACTCTTTACATAATCTGACTTCCAAATCTGACCAGTAATTGAAAAATATTTCATATAGAAACAGACTAAGAAAACCTGATATTATAATAGTGGGGGGAGAGAATTACAGAAATTAACCGTAAAGTGTAATGTTATCATGCTGAAATCCCATCGAAGCTTGATGGTGGATAGAATGCTGTACTTCACAATGCAAATTAAACCAATAAAAATAAGAGACTCTCCAAACATTGTCAACAAATGCCTACTGTCTTATCCATGAAGACTCTCTCTCTCATCAGGATCTCCAACTCCCAATCTAAAGCCTGATTGGTGTTGTTTTTCTCCAGTAAGAGAAAACAAGCCAGGCGTGGTGGCACACACCTGTAATCCCAGCACTCAGGAGGCTGAGGCAGGAGGATCGCTGTGAGTTCGAGACCAGCCTGGGCTGCACAGTGAGTTCCAGGGCAGTCTGAACTAAACCTTCACCACTCACCCAGGCGGGCAGGAGGAATTCACACACATGCACACACTACCAGTTTCCTCAGTGGAGCGGAAGTAAGAGGGGAGAGGAGCCCCGTCATGGGTGGGCCAGAGTCCCACTGCTGACCGGGGACTGGGCACCTGAGGGAAAGCATCCAGCCCTTTCTCTTGGAGAGGTGCTCGAGACCAACCCAGGGAACATAACCATCAGCCCTGCATCAAGTGCTGTGTACAGATCTGG